GAATCGAATCGGGTGTGTCGATGGGCTAAATGATGTCGGCGCTTGGTACCAGTTGCTACCAAACTAGGGACAATGAAGAGGCCCTGAAGCTGGACGCCGATGTCTTCTCGAGTCCGAGGTGTATGGCCGAGATTGATGGGCGGATCGGACGAGGCTGAGACGCCATGCCGGTCCGGTTCGGTTGTTGGCCCCCATTAGCATAATGACTGTGTTTAGGAAACACGAGTATGAAACAAGTGTGTTGGCCTGTGTGGAGTCAGGCTGAATAGACAATGGTGGGCGGGAGAAACGCGAAAAAGCCTCACTCATCCGAGCCATCCCACCGGCCATCGGCCAGACACCTCAAACTATGAGGAGGTCATGTGGAGAGTGCTTGGAGAGAGAGAGAGAGTCGGACCAATGCGGACGAGTGGAGGGATCGCTGCGGTTTGGACAAGACGACAAAACCACTTGGCCAGTGGACGACAAAGAAGAAGAGGAAGAAGAAGAGAAAAGTGATGAACAAAGAGAATATTGGAAAAAGGTGTCTAAAGCGAATGTACGAGAATGTTATCAAGACTGAATGAGGCAAAACGTAAATACACATTTTTAGTTGTATGCCCAGGTTTTCACGACCACCAGTTGAAGTTTCCCACAATCACATGAAGAGGCCATACTTCTCCATTTAAAATTCACATAAACGTGCTTTCCCAAAAGATTTATTCTCATCTCGCACCTCGCCTGAACTGGTCTCATCAGCACCCCCGGCAGGATTCGAACCATGACAGTTCAGCATATAATCTCGACACCTTTTTGAGAAGGAAAGACTATGTGAAATTCAATGGAAGCGTAATATATGATTGTATATGAGTGTGGAAAATACATTTCATATATACAAATACAAATCGTATGGGAAACAACGTAAAATGAGGTTAAAATGGAATAAATCGATACTAAAATGGTGAACAGTATTAAATAATAAATAATATTTTAAAATGCGTAATGAAAAAAGTAAGATACATTTATTGAATATATGAAGACCAAGATATTGTGGCCTCTGGCATGATCGCAGTCTTCTTTCAATTTATATATAAGTGGCTTGATCTCGTTGTCGCAACTTGGTCTTGTTGTCAGGGCGACTATGTAGAACGCATCTTGTCCCTGATGATGCCGACTACGATGCAGGCGAAACGTCTGCGAATGTACCGAATCCACAGTCTGATGCTGGGAATTACGATAACTAATATGGCAGAGGACTTCGGACGATGTGAGTTCTACTAAGTCGCCCTGACAACAAGTCCAAGTTGCGACAACGAGGTCAACCCATTTCTAAGATATTTTAAGCATAATAATATGATTCTATTTCAGTATAATTATTAATTTTACCACTTTATTATATTAGTATATTGAAAAAATGACATTATCGTTCAGAATGGAGCATGACTGCAGTTTAGACTTCGCCTCCTCGTCTCATCCTCACCCAAACGGGATTCGAAAAAGGGCAACGGTGCTACTCCACCCAGCCCAGCAACTGTTGCCAGTAGGTCAAAGGCCAGAAGCGACTTTCGTGAAGAGCCGAGCATCTCCCTAATCAAGCCATTACAATCGGTCATGCCAAAACAGTTGAACAGAAATTGCTCAATGAGATTGATTGCCTTCACTTGTACTTTGATAAGTTGTAAATCTGTGCTGATGATGACACCTTTCACGGAAGATGTCGATTACGATTTGGAAGTGTACCAAGTCATTGTTCCCACGCTTGAACTCACGAATGCTATGGCAGAGGACGCCGGACTGGGTACCTTCCACAAGGTCTTCCTGTCCCAGACTAAATTACGAAAAAGAAGTCAAGCCAATAATTGTATTTCCAATTGGATAGAAAATATTTTTGGTTAATTTCTTAACTTATTCAATGGTCGCTTGATCTTTCGTTTTTGATTCTTTCGTCTTTTATACATTGTCCCTATTCTTAATTGACCACGATACCCCTCCAGTTTGTTCCCAATTTGCTCTATCTGTTTATTCATAATATTTTTTATTAGAGTAGAGTTTAGAGACTACCAGTAAATCGGTAATATGACATGTATTCACCCTATTTCGTTTAAGATTATGAAGGACTGGTATAAAAAGATTTTTCCCACAATGATATGAGTTGAGCTGACGTTTCTATTCAATTTCACATAGCCTTGCTTTCCCAAAAGTTGTTCTCATCCAAATTTTGGAAAAGCAAAGCTATGTGAAATTGAATGGAAACGTCAGCTCAACTCATATCATTGTGGGAAAATTCTTCTACCAGTCTTTCATCACCATAGACGAAATAGGGTGAATCCATCTCATAATATTTTAGACCATTACTATTTTCCATTCCTATCATATTTCATTTCAATTTTGTTTAATTTTGTAATCACCATTTGCAATCCATTTTACCTTCTTCACAACACTTTACACACATTTCATTTCAATCTGGTTAACGTTGCAACAAAGTTTACGTAACTATTAATAACTCGTCTGTGGTAGTATCGTTTTGGTGACTTATGTTTTGTGTTTAGATGCCGACTCACCATTGACTTAAATTTCCTTCGGAGTCGATGAAACTGAGCAGCCGAATCGTTTGACATACCATTGGACAGACATCTTCAAATCTGCATCTCGTTCTTACCAGAAATTGCGGCGAAAGTCATCCAAAAAGACTAACCAACCTGTTTTTAAACGCTATACACACGCATAGCAACAGCAAAAAAAGAGATAAATATATTTGATTAGCTTACTTTGGTGACAATTTTGGTGATTATTTGTTTAAGTGCGT